GCAGCAGCAGCAGCAGCAACGGCAGCAGCAACAACAACGGCAGCAGCGGCAGCAGCAAAGGCAGCAGCAGCTGCTGCTGTGCATGGTGTCTGTACACCTCAAGCTGCTGCTGCCCACCTTTTCTTTGCTGCTGAGGTGTACGCCCTGCTGCTCCATCGCCTCGCGCATGCAGCGCAGCACCACGGCCTCTTCCTTAGTCAGTGCAGCAGCAGCATCAGCAGCAGCAGCAGCAGCAGCAGCAGGTGCTGCGGGTGCTCCAGGCTTGCAGCTGCAGCAGCAGCAGCAAATGCAACAATTTCCGGGAAAGCGCAGCACCAGTGAGGAATGCAGAAGCCTTGCCTCACTCGAGAACGCATGCAACTAGGAGTGCACGGAAAAATTAGGGTTTAGGGTTTAGGGTTTAGGGTTTAGGGAGTACTCACGGCTCCTCTCCACCGCTCTCAGCCTGGGCTGGCGCTCCTTCTCGCAGTCTTTCGTAGATCTGAAAACCCCAAACCCCAAGCTTTAAACCCTAAACCCTAAACCCTAAACCTTAAACCCTAAACCCTTGAGCAAAGTCCAATCCCTAAACCCTACGTGTGCTACACCCAGCTAGCCGGCTCCGCAAACCCTAAACCCTAATGAGCTTCAGACCGCCAAGGGTTTGTGGAGCATGCGCTCGGCGGAGCTAAAAAGGACTCAGCTCCTAGGGTTTAGGGTTTAGGGTTTAGGGTTTAGGGTTTACGGAGTCGCTGAAGTTCGCCACGCTCATGAAGTGCTGCACCTCCTGCACCACTTGGTCTCCGGCCTGTTGCCACTCCGGCAACGGATGAACATTCCTGCACCCGCAAACCCTAAACCCTAAACCCTGAACCCTAAACCCTAAACCCTAAACCCTAAACCCTAAGCTGCACGCAGCTACCCCATTTGAAAAATGGCTGTTGAGTGTTTGAGGTTTCTTTCATGCTTTCTTGACCCTCAAACCCTAGTCCGCGATTCCCCAACTCTAAACCCTCGCTGCAAACCCTAAACCCTAAACCCTAAACCCTAAACCCTAAACCCTAGAGTGTTCAAACCTGATGAGTTCTGCGGCGTCTGCGACTTTGCACAAAGCGTTGCTGACGGCGTCGAGTGTCTGTACAGCTTGTTTTTGGCTGCCTTCTGTTTTACTTTTGAATTCACTTTTAATTTCTTTTTTAATTTCTTTAATTTCCTTTTCAATTTCCCTTTTTAATTCACTTTCAAATTCTTTTTTTTCCTTTTCCAAAAGTCTGCTGCAGTCGCGCATGCACTGCCGCGCGAGCTGCAGCAAGGCCTCAGGTGTATCGACACCCGGCAGCTGCAGCAAACCAGGAACAGAGCTCCAGCTGCTGCTGCTGCTGCTGCTGTCGCTGCTGCTGGTGCTGCTGCAGCTGTGCACGCTTCTTCTGTTGCTGCTGATGGGCCCTTTGCTGCTGCTGCTGCAGGTGTGGATGCTGCTGCTGGAGCCTGCACCAGCAGCAGCAGCAGCA